CACACACACCGACACGCACACAAACACACACCCACACCGACACACACACACCGACACGTACACACACACACACACACACACACACGCACACACACACACCGACACTCACACACACACACCGACTCGCACGCACACACACAGACACACACGCAGACACACACACACGTACACGCACACACACACACACACACCGACACGTACACACACACACACACACAGACACACACGCAGTTTGCGTTGTTCATATTTATAGTAGCACACTAACATGGTGAATAAGGAATAGACCTGAATACGTTTGTGATGTCACACCATGTGATGAAAGCTATTTATAAACATGCAGTTGGCACACGCACACAGACACACAAACGCACACACAGTCCCTCCATAACAGACTGCAGTAAAGCTGGTTTAACGTGGATGAACAAGCAGCAGTGAAGCGAGTCTCACTGCTTCAGGGGTCAGAGGTCATGCGTTTAATGTTCAACCCCCCTGTGTGTTTAAGGGACAGCACAACCTTTGAACTTGTGAAACTTGGGTCACCTGACTCGGCGACCTGCGAGATGTCGACTCCCTGCTCGGCGGCCATGAAGCCCAGAATGGAGAAGACCACGAAACCAGCGAAGAAACTGGTCCCACTGTTGATCATCGCCAGGACGAAGGCGTCTCTGAGGGACGGGAGACGAGTAGCTTAGCAACGCGTCTCACGCGGCGTACAGCCTCATAGTATTACTACTTTACTGCTAAACTCATACTACATTTATGACTGTCTAGTACTGCACGGTATTACATCTCAGTAGATAGTACACTATAGTACTATAGTACTACACTATACTCCATCCCAGACGTGGAGGTCGTACTTGTAGCAGTCGTTGTTGAAGCGGTTGTAGCTGCCCAGAGCCGTCAGAGCTCCGAGGCCGATGGCGTAGGAGAAGAAGATCTGAGTCCCGGCATCGATCCACACCTGAGGGGAGGTCAGAGGTCAGAGGTCAGAGGTCAGGGACCCTTCTTTTATTTTTCTGGTCCTGGTCCTTCACCCACCTGCGCCTCCCCCAGCTTGGACCAGTCTGGTTTGATGTAGTACATGATGCCGTCGTAGGCCCCGGGCAGCGTGACGCCTCGGACCAGCAGGATGACGAGCACCACGTAGGGGAAGGTGGCTGTGAAGTACACAATCTGACACACACACACACACAGACACACACACACACAGGAATGTGGAGGGTCAGCACCATGGAGAGCGCTCGGTCTCAGGTTGGGTCGAGTTTCAGTCAAATCACAGCAGAGAACGAGAACCCCCCCCCACACACACCCACACAGACTCACACACACACACAGACACACACACACAGACACACACTGAGGTCTTTGGGTTCATTGTGTCATTCATAACCCCCGACTATCAGTCTCCTGCTGACGATTAACAACAACAGTCTCAGTTGGCACTGAGATCCGTGTGAACGCTGCTGACTTACTCACACACAACCACACACACACACACACACACACACACACACACACACACACGCACACACACACACACACACACACGCACACACACACTGAAGTCTTTGAGCTCACTGTTTCATTCATAACTTAAATCTATTTGTTAAAACTAATACAATTTTACTGAACAGGCTTTAATTTTTTGGTGAAACTGTGTGTGTGTGTTTGTATATGTGTGTGTAGTACACGGTGCACAGTACACGGTACACACAGTACACGGTACACGGTACACACAGGTACTTCTCCCTCTGACTCTGTCACGTCTCACTGCAGTCGAGCTGCCCTCCCACCACGACCAATCAGGACGCGCCACCTCACAGCCCCTCCCCTTCCTCCTCCCTGTCGTAGTCACGGCAACGCTAAGGCCCAGCATGTGACGCAGTGTGAGTCTCACCGTCACATGCTGGTGAGACACATACACACACAGACACACACAGACACACACACACCGACACCGACACACACACACACACACACACACACACACACGCACACATACACACACACACGCACACGCACACACACAGACACACACACACACACGCACACAGACACACACGCGCAGTGAATCTCAGCACCGTGAAGGTTGAACTCTTAAAGGAACAGTCACACATTTATTCTTCTGTTTTAAATCAAACCCCCGCGGACTCCTGAATGAAAGCCAGCGGCCGAAGCTCTGCTCTCTTATTGATGCAGCCGCACAGAAGCCGATCAATCAGCTGTCCGCTGACCTCTGACCTTCAGCCTGTTATGTAAATGACCCCCAGCTGTTCAGCCGGCCCGTGCTCTGGTATGTATGACATTGTGGGGACTTGAAAGAACAACTTAACGCAAAACGTTCCTTAATCACGACGATGTGACGAAACACAACCTGAAACTATTGATAAACACAATATGTGACAAGTTGGCAACTTAAGGTATTTGTTATTTCATTTATCTATAATTATTGTATCCAGTCAAAAGTCTGGACACCCGGTCCAAACGGTTGACTGGTACCGTATGTATTAAAACATTCACAACAATGTGAGGACTAACTGAGCAGATATGAGGACGTGATCACATCCTCGTATCAGGGACGTTGTGGGGCCACAGATAAAACACCAGCTCCATCCATCCATCGTCAAACCTCTTATCCTGCACACGGGGTCGCGGGGGGCTTGAGTCCGTCCCAGCCAACTTCAGGCGATAGACGGGTTCATCCTGGACTGGTCGCCAGCCAATCACAGGGCTACACAGAGACACACAACCATTCACACTCACATTCACACACCTACAGGCAATTTAGAGTCACCATCAACCTGATCCCCAGAGCAGGTCTCTGGACTGTGGGAGGAAGCCAGAGAACCCGGAGAGAACCACCGCAGACACGGGGAGAACATGCAGACTCCACACAGAAAGGCCTCTGGGCGGAGTGGAACCCAGGACCTTCTTGCTGTGAGACGACGGCGCTGACCACCAGGCCACCGTGCCGCCCAAACACCAGCTCACACACCTTAATAAAAATAAACAATGCTCGAGCATTTTACGGTTTTCATCAACATTTTATCTGACTTCTCTAGCAGGACCCTGTTCCTCGTACGTGGTTCAACTACGTCCATCAAATGTCCGATCATCCGGCCCAAGTTACCGAGATGATTGACATCAGACTATCTCGGTTCCTTGAAGGCGGATCGGCGCTCAAAACAGTATGAGAGACAGTCTGTGGGACAGTGTGTGAGACAGTGTGTGAGACAGTCTGTGGGACACTGTGTGAGACACTGCGTCAGACAGTATGAGACAGCATGAGACACAGTGTGTGGGACAGTGTGTGAGACGGTATGAGACAGCATGAGACACAGTCTGTGGGACAGTGTGTGAGACGGTATGAGACAGCATGAGACACAGTCTGTGGGACAGTGTGTGAGACGGTATGAGACAGCATGAGACACAGTCTGTGGGACAGTGTGTGAGACGGTATGAGACAGTGTGTGAGACAGTCTGTGGGACAGTATGAGACAGCATGAGACACAGTCTGTGGGACAGTGTGTGAGACGGTATGAGACACAGTGTGTGGGACAGTGTGTGGGACAGTGTGTGAGACAGTCTGTGGGACACTGTGTGAGACACTGCGTCAGACAGTATGAGACACAGTGTGTGGGACAGTGTGTGAGACAGTATGGGACACAGTCTGGGGGACAGTAGATGCTTGGCTGCAGCGTGTGCTGTTCATCACGTTATGTTACGGCTCCAGAAGGTCGTAAATAAATGAATCGGGTCCTCAGCATCTGCAGCGCTCGTACAGGACGTGATGGTGACGTCATAACGGTGTCTCTGTGATGTCATAGAAGTCTCTCCCTATAAAATCCTCCTTCATCAGTGAGGAGAGATGAACTGATCCAGCAGCTCAGATGAACCGCAGCAGGTTCATCAACCCGGATACGAGTTCAGCTACCTGAGATCAGAAAGAGGTCTAAAGCTTGTGTGTGTGTGTGTGTGTGTGTGTGTGTGTGTGTGTGTGTGTGTGTGTGTGTGTGTGTGTTACCTTTCCGGTGGATTTGACTCCCTTCCAGACACAGAAGTAAACCATCACCCAGACGGCCATCAGACACAACGTCAGCTCCCAGTTAAACTCTCCAGTTTCACCCAGACCGGACGAGATGTTCAGCACCTTTCTCCTGCAGAGAGAGAGAGCACATTGTTTACATCACAACAACAACAACAACGACTACTGTAATTATGGCAATTTGTGTTCAGGACAGGGTTTAAAGCACAACAGCAGCAGATCAGTAAGAAGAAGAAGAACTTTATCCCTGTGTGCGTTCACTGATTTGATCAACTCTTTCGTTCACTGCTCGCTGTGTGTCATTGAGTTGCCACGACAACGCGGCGGTGATCCACATCGATGGAGCAGCTGCTCTTCTAGTCGACCTGCAGTCCCTCTGATCCACTAACTCGCTGCAGCACTAAATAAACACCTTCAGGCGCCTTTGGTTCCAATGAAGCCAAAACTCCAGCCGGTCCCTCAACAGGTCCTCACACAACCACTTGGTTCCCTGCTGGTTTTTAGTTTGAACATGAACAATGAAGAACATCATCGACATACGAGTCACTTGAAGCACCTTTTATTCCTACTTAATGTTCTTCTCGTGTTTGTAGACGCGGTAGAGGTGAAGCACCGCTGAGTTTAGTCTGAAGCTTCTTCAGCACTGGACTCAAGTTCTTGTTGGTCAGTAAAAAGACTTCCAAGTCCAGGAGCACGTGAGCGTTTCACAGCCCTCATCGTTCGGGAGGACCGTTGTGCAGCTACGTTGGTTAGCATGCTAAAGCTAGCTGTGAGACCGCCGTCCTTTGAGAACCTGCGTTCACTGAGAATCCTTCAATCATCAAACGTCTCGTTGCTGCATGTTGATGACTTGATGTATTCTCGGACCCTCGATGCAGATCTCTGGACGAGGTGACTGCATATAGAAGAAGATTGAAGAAACCTTCGCTGATGTTGATCTCATAGTTAGTTCAAACCTACCACGACCCCTCGACCCAGAACCCCGGCCCGAGCAGAACTCACTCCCAGAACTCGATGATGGGCGACTGGGCGTTGGCCAGCTCGGCGCAGGTCATGTTGCCGCCGACAACGGTGGCGTTGGCGATGCTGCCGTTGACGCAGTCCTGGTGGCGGAAGTTCTCGATGCAGCTGGGCGTGTTCCATTCGTTGTCGCAGGTGGACCAGGGGAGGGTGGAGTTGAAGGACTTGATCAGGTAGTAGAAGCCCCAGGCCAGCACCATGATGTAGTAGGTGTTACAGAAGAAGACGATCACCATGGAGGAGTAACCGAGACCTGAGGAAGAGGAGGGGGAGGAGGAAGAAGACAACAAAAACAGGGTGAGGACAAGCCTGATAACTGGAGTAATAGATTATAGAGGTTAAGATTTACATTTGGCTCATTGATGACTCGTACATGTTTCCCTTCCTGTCCCGTCCTCTGGAAGTCAAACCTGTTGTGTTAAAGCAATAAGGTACTTGAAGCAGTACTTTATCTCCAATAAGGTAACAGTTCAAGGGTGTGGTTACATCATTGAAGATAAAGTACTGCTTCAAGTACCTTATTGCTTTTATAATACGGATACCAACTAAATTCTAAATAGTATGTAAATAGCCGCCTTTCAGTACAAAATAGTTGTAGCCACCAAACGTTGTTTATCTCATTTCAGTGGTCTAGAGAAGAAATAGTCCCTGTACGTGCAGGTAAACAGCATCGGGTCTCCTTGCAAGATCTCGCACCATCTCGTTCATTCACATCTCTCATGACGTCCACCTGAACAGTTGTGAAAGCTCCCATTACCCCAAACGCATCAAACCGAAAAACCGAAAAACTGTGTCAGATAAGATTTAAGATCATTGTCCATCTGACATATTACAACTATTATAACGATTACAATGAATACAACTCTAACACAGAAACAGAGAGCCACAGTGGTCCAAGCGTTTAAACGCCTCATTTCGGTAGTTTGCACACTATTAATTGTCTCTAAGAAGTTGTGATAAATCTGTGTCGCTGTCCTTGGTGCTGAAGTAGCAGATGGATTTTTCATTTGAACTTCTTCTCTGAGGAAGATTTAGTAATAAACATCTTCTCTTTCAAACCTCTTTTGAAACAGAACCATCGGGACTGGAAGCAGAGAACTGAAATATTTCTTTACTGCAGAATAACACAGTTATGATCAATCATTGAAGAGAAAGAAAAGCAGGTCGAATGTTTTACAGAACCTAGAAAACAATTAAACAATCCAAGAAATAGATGTTTCCAACTGTCAACAACGTCTACTAAGGTTGGAGATGAAGTATGTTCTACATGTGGTTCACATGAAACTAGTGTAGTCCTAGTTTCTCTGATTGATGGTCACATGACTGCTGGTCTCAGATTAATCAATGGTGACATCATAGGTTCACTTATTTTAACACAATCTGATCAAGAGGTTTAGTGGTGAATTCAAGTTTTCTGGCTGATCAGCTGTTGGTCTTCAGGGTTCGGACTAAACCTTCCCGTCCTCCAGAGGACAGAATCCACATCGAGCCTCGCGTGTTGACTGTTGGCGTGAACTCGGGCGAGTGAATGTCAAGGTGCAGCTTCGTCTACAGCGCCGGGAGTTTAAAGGTCGCAGCGAGGGCCGTGTAGTAAACGCAGCTAATGACACCGAGTCATGTGCTGCAGGGCTGATAAACTCTTTATAGAGCTCACAGATATGAGTGTGTGTGTGTGTGTGTGTGTGTGTGTGTGTGTGTGTGTGTGAGAGTGTGTGTGTGAGAGTGTGTGTGTGTGTGTGTGTGTGTGTGTGTGTGTGAGTGTGTGTGTGTGTGAGTATGAGTGTGTGTGTGTGTGTGTGTGTGTGTGTATGTGTGTGTGTGTGTGTGTGTGTGAGTGTGTGTGTGTGAGTGTG